GCCTAGTAGCAGCACTTCAAAGTCAGAGCCAGCCAAGAAATAAAGATGATAAGTTTCTGGCTCAAAAAGAAGGGGGAGAGAGAGAGGGGAAAAAAAAAAATAAAAAAAGGATTTGGGCTTCTGACTCACGCTAGGCATGCGAGGCTTATTTTTTTTATTCATCGTTTCACCTGCAGAAACAGATATTCACAGGCTTTATAATGTCACATTGCCTGTACAAATTGCTATTTGTGTTGTGCCAGAGCCTTTCTCAGCCAGTGTTAGGATGACATTGCACTGGGTGCCACCCAAAGACTGGAGAACAATCTCTGCCTCAAAAAGCTGCTTATCCAAAGACAAAGAGCAAGCAGCAGCCTGTAACTACTAATTCACAACATCTCCTCCACACACAAGTCCTCACCATACCCAGAGACAGCTACAACCAAATACCACCCTTGCCACAGTTAGGAACTAAGTGCAAAAATTACAGAAGAGGCAAACCTGCACATGCTGCAGCCTGTAGGGTACTGCTAGCCAGCAGATGCAACTGCTGGCAGTTGCAAAGGCAATTGTTGCGCCATTGCTGAGAAAGTGAACCTCACAGAACAAAACTTCTGAATTCTCACTCCACCCATGAGGGCCCAGTTTCTAGCCACCCATCTCAAGAACTTCTCTGGTGTTTGTTATTCAGTGCTCTAGGCACCAAGGGCCTGCAAAGCAGGTGCTGTCCCTACTGACACAGGGAGAATGGTTGTAGGAGAGGGGGAAGTTTCAAGACCAGCCGTGGGCTTGACTTTGAGTTGCATTAAGTAGACTCGTGCTCCTTGCGGTCAATGACAGGCTCAGACAGCAACTGCATGGATGTGTTCTTCTGAGAGCAAGGAGTGGCTTACCTCTTTAACAAGCTTCCCAAAGCTCTGTATCAGAGTCTCCATGGTTTCTGACAGATCCCACAAGGAGGAATTGAGAGAGAACCGTCTCTGCAAGAAAAGAGAAAAGGAAACCGGAAGTCACCGCATGCACAAACCAGGAAATAAAACTCTTGGAAACGATCTTGTAAAGTCCTTCTTGTAGGAAGGACTGTCCACCAGACAGAGCCCCCGATGGGGAAGCCAGAGAGCTGGCTTTCTATGCAGGCTTGAGCTTGAGCTACTGTGGGCTCCAGAGCCCCACAGTGCAATGGAGGCAGTTCTTTCCTTCCGCACAGGTTAGGTTCACCAATGCTATAATAACCAGAGCCATCCTAACACAAGCAGATAAATGCATGCACTTACATTCCCAATGTAAAGGATGGTTTTCATTCCAGCTTCCACAACAAAGACAGCCTACAGGGCAACATGTGGGCAGACCCGAAATCCTGCAAGCCACCACGAGGCAGGGGAAGCCAAACTATTCAACGGAGGAAAGGACTGCATGGCAGACACAAGCTTTCAGTAGCACTCCATAGGTGTCAGCCCAGAAACCCCGTATCTTCTGCTGCACTGTACATCTCATCTCCTTCCTCATCACTCAAGTCTTCCATATGACCTTGATGTTTTCAAACTAAACCGAGCACGCATTTTAAAACAGTCAGCTTCTATAAAACAGTTGACGCATAGACCACCACACCACACCAGAGGGAAACAGTGACAGCTTTCCAAAAGCACAGCTTTCAGAGAGCTGTATTTGCTTTAGCAGTTCCTTGCCCAGGCAGTTGCACTGAAGGCAATTCTTTGTTTCCAGTTAGTCTCCATGTAACTGGTAGGTCTGGGTTTTGTGGGTTCTTCTGTTTGTTTGTTTTTCTTCTGTTCTGATTTCTGGGTTGTAGCAAAGCATTATCTTGTACTGGAAACATTTCATGGAAGAGAAGCATCTAGACTCTTTAACCTAATAATTTGGATACAATCCCTCTTTCAGAGGAATCAGAATTAAAACCATTTCCTAAGATTTCATATTAGTAGCTGCACGTTACAGCATTTGAAAGCATGGTAAAGTCACAGTATGGTGACACAGAAGAATGGCCACCACCCTTGTTTTTAGTATACATCTTTTGGGCTGAAATTTCCTATTTTCATATCTTTTCTGGGGGCAATTTCTGGAAGCTGCTTGAACGTCTAGAGGCTTGCACATGCTCTAGCTGATGTGCTGGTAGGAGGTAACAGCTGGTCAGAGTGTCAGCTAGTGTAAATGGGCACTGTTCCACTGACCTGCTGGGCTGCTTGTACCCAGCTAACTTTTCTGAGTGCTGTTAGTGCCTGCTCCACAGCCAGCTGTGAAGTCACAGAGAGTCTCAGTCAAAACTCATCATTAGGGCTGCAAATCAAAATTAGAAAAGCAAAGCATTAGAAAGCATTAGAAAAGCTAATCAAATTCCCCACAGGCTAAGTTCTTCTTGAGACATTTTTGAAGCAACACAGTTCACAAATATCACAGTTACATAGCTGCACTACCAATTTAGCAACAAGATGGAGTAGAAAGTCCTGGGTTCATGCACGCAATGGACATGCTTTGCTCAACTCAGTTTACTCCATCAAGGTCCAGAGGGATCTGTGCTGCTGAACATATTCAAAAGTGATTCAGGGACAGGGTGGGTGATGAGAAGACAACAGTTTTCTGATGATACTACTTGGCTGAGAATAATGAAAGTCAAAAGCCAGTTGCAAAGGATTAGTGAAGGACCTCACGCTGACAAACTGGCTGCTAAAGCGCCAGATGAAATTCAGTGCTGCAAAGTAATGCACACAGGGAAAAGACAGCTCTACCCTGACTAGCCACCGCCACTCAAAAGAGGTCTGAGCTTTATAGTGGTAAGACAGATCAACATCAATATAAATCCACAGTGCATTCCCCTCGCTGAAGGATTATGTACAATTTTGGATTCTCCATCTCAGAAAGAACACAAGTACAGAAAAAGGGTACGGGTATGATTTAAGATACAAATGACATCTGAAGGGAGAACAACAGACCACAGTTATTGCAGTGGGACCCCTAATGATGAACAGAGGATATGACAGAGGTCTGTAGAATTACAAAGGGGATGGAGAATGCGAATAGGGGATGATGGTTCACTGTGCCTCGTAATACAGGAGAGCTTCCAATGAAAAGATCGGTTTAAAATAAACCAAAGGAGTTACTTCACGCATAGCTCAATTGTCAAAGCGCAGAACTCATCTATAACATGTAGGTAGCAAATGTTAACGTAGATTTGAAAAAAAGATGAGACAAATTCATGAAAGGAAAAAAAAAATCTGTCAACATCTATTAAAAGCCAAGATCCCAGTAGTGTTTGGGGAAGTTTGTGAGCTGTCAGCTACTGAAGACCAGGAGAGTCTTTTGAGGAAATAGTGCCCCATTCCTGCATTCTTTCACGCGTCCATTGCAGGCCATTGCTAGAGTGGCACCCAAGGGGCACTGAACTGAACGGGTCTTTGGTCTGAGCCGGTATGGAAATCTTACGAGACTCAAGGAGACCACAAGCCCGCCCAGGGGTGTGAGCAGAACCCAGCGTCACTCCCCACTAGACTCTTCTTCCCTTACAAATTCACAGACCTCTCATGTTCGTTTCTTACCAGAGCATACAATGAAGCCACACTATGGAAGGAAGTTTGCTTTGTTTAACCCCACCCTTCGTACCCTAAAAACCCACTCAGAGAGCTGATTACAAGTCACATATCCTGAGACAAGGAGAAAGTGAGAGTTACAAGTGGCCATATGGACAAGCGCGCCATGGATTTCCCTAGAAAATAACTCTTTGCAATGGCACTAACAATCATTATATTACAAAGATCTTGCCCCCCAGGTTCATTGAACCTCGAGTAAGATTGATCTCATTGTGAGAGCATATGTAGAAGGGGTCTGCACTAGAGTAAGGGGAGCAATGACTTGTTTTCCAGTGAAATGCTGGAAAACATTGCCTGTCCTTTCTAGGCATAAAGTGGAAGGGCATTACCGTTCTAGCAGGATTTGAACAGAACTGTCCTGTCCAATAGTAGTCTTAGTGGCTAACTAAGTCATGCCCTCACCTACACTCATCTTTCGGGGCAGTCAACTTTGTAATACTCTCGAGTGGTGTGTTTTACCGAGTGCACTCTGTGTGCTTGCGTGTGCATGCTACAAGGCTCGAAATAGAGACAAATACTTGAGCTAATCGGAATCAACTGCACAGTCAAGACAAGCCCTGAGTAAGTCCACCTGTCAGCTCCTACTAGAAAGGATGACCAACTTACAAATTTAACATGTAGTAAAATGCATCTGTTTGAGGTGTTGGGGATCATGACAAAACTCAGCCACTATCTGCAACTTAACTGCTAATTGCTTCTGCTCAACATGACCGCTTAGTCATGTTTGAAATTAAATAGTTACAACTCTAAACTGATCTTAGCAGAAACTTTGCACTGAACTTAGCAGAAAAATTACGTGCTTTAAGTTTTTCCTGTTCTTTCCTAAGAGTGGAAATCCCAAAGTACATATATGTAAATACCATTGTGCTTGACCCAAAACACTCAGAAGAGCAAAGAAAGCCACAAGTTCAATTGCAGCTTGTATTTACATTAAAAGACCTTTATCTAAAGCTGTTTGTCAAATGGAATGCATTTATTAGTCAATGCTTAGTTCATACTAATCATATGACAAAATATCACTCATACAGTGAAGGGATAAAAACAATTAGTTTTTCACGTGCTCACCCACATTCCCTCAAGGATGACTACAGCACACAAACCACAACATACTTATGGGTTATTATGGACCCGCATGACTAGAAGGGACAATAGAAAGCCCTTCTTAGGCAGCACTACGGAAATGCAGTCTCACGGGATCAGTTTAAGTTATCTCTGTCAGTTACCCCCATCTGCTTGGTTTCAAAACTACGGAGGTCTGCAGAGAGAAAAGTCATCTCACAGCCAGGCGATTTTATGATGTGTGACAGTCACCACCTAAGACAGCGCTAGCCCGGTGGGACATCTCTGAATTACCGCCACTGCTCTCACTAACCAGGGGTGCTTGTAACCTTCCCCAAACTGCATGGTTCTTCCATGGGACAACAGCTCTCCTGGCACTGGGAGAAAGCTGAAAAGGAAATTTGTGTATATGGGGTTAGAAGGTTTTCTTCCTTTCTCTTTCTCAAACCAGCTCCTCCTGGCCCGCCCTATCCTCACTGTATGCACCCGGTGCAAGGCAAACTTCACGAGGGACATCTGTGCCCTCAGGTGACTTGTACAGGGTGTCCTACATTGCACAGGGCAGTCCTTAGTGTTGGTCCTGAAGGCTCTAGAAGATGGATGAAGTTAAGAAGTGTGGGTTCTGGAAAGGGGAATTTGACTTCTGGAAACGTTAGTTGCTTCCAGTGGCGCGAATGCTCTGTCAAAAAGGAAGGCTGATCCTCTGCCTCGGCTCCCTGTGATCACTCCCAGATACTCTGCTGGGTTTCCATATAAATGGCCCTGCCTGAATAGGTTCTTACATGAGGAGGAATAAGGAAGCCCACTCCAGTCTCCTCAGCGTGCCTCTGCGAGCCTGGCTCTCTCTGTCCTCTCACTCTACAGAGCAGAAACTGAGATGTTAAATGACAAGCTCATACAATGGACTGGGGCAAAGCTAGAAATCCTATTGTAATATTTTAATTAGAAGAATTTCTGTCTTTACTGTACTATTCATTCAGGCAATCTTCGGGCTGTTCTTGATAGAATGAATGAGTAGGTATGCAAAACCAGGAGTTTATTCTTTGCTTTTTTCACCTCCCTGAACTGTGCTGTGATGTGCACAGCCAATACACTTCATCAGGCACCCTTGATAATTCTCTTTCTAAAACTGCGCTCTGTCCATAATTGGCTAATAGCCACCATTTTGCTGTTAGCTGCCTAAAACACTTCTTGTTTTCCTCAGGCTGCAAAGGCACAAACAATTTAAGCTGGCGTAAGCAGATGCTGACATGAAAGGTAGGGGTCTCAACTCACACGCACATACACACCCTGACCACTGGGTTCTCAGTCTTGCACCCTCCCCTGCTTTTTTCAGCACAAATGTTTGTGCAACCACACAATCAGGCCAGCCAGTTTTAATCCGGATCAGCTCCCTGATGCAATTCACAGATGGCCTTACAGAGGGAACAACAAACGGGAACGCACAGGGGCTGGAACAAGCCGCTGGATGCTGGGATGAGTCTTCTGGAGGTATCTTGCAGCGTGCACGAAACTATAGCCACTTGACTACCCAGATAAGTGCCAGAAAACGCCAGCGTAACTACTCCAGCCCTTAGCGCTGAATTTACACAATTCTTGCACGCTGCCGCAAGCCCTTTTCACCCTAGTTGCGTTCATCTAACGATACTAATGTTTTTTCTCTGCCTCTCCAAAAATTGCGGCTGTCAGTGGAGCCCAGGTCTAGTTACACGACATCAGAACCTGCTTCCAAATTTCTGTTGCACACCTGCATTTGCTTTGGGCCACATTTTTTACTTATTGACATGCCGTGCTGTGAAGTTCAACAGGGGGATTAAGTAAGAAACTAAAAATAGATCTCTGGGCCTATCAACTTGTTGGCATTGGTTTACAGGCTCCATAGTAGATATACGGCAGCCAGCTTCGCTGTGCGTGTCCAAGGTTTGACCCACAGCGCCTGCAAGGATAAGCTGTTAGTCAAAAGCCTCCTTTGTTCAGGAACAGAATGTTCCTTCTTTGTCCAAGGATGTTACTGCAGGTCAAGGCATTTTTTTAGCCTTTTAAGCCACTACGTTTCAAATGTGTCGGTCATGATCCCAGAGTTCATTTATTCATTTTGTGTGGCCACATCAAAGCCAGTGGATTTTAGTTCACTCACTGAGGCATTACAGAAGCCTTAAATAGAGGGTATCCTTTGACATTTTTCTGAAGAAAACCGTCGACTTTTGCAGGACGGTGTACAATACCTAGCGTGTTCAGCAGAGCTGACTTCAGCACTCAAGAGCTTTTTTCTCTCAAGCCAAGATCATGAGCCAGCTTCTCAGAAGTCCCCAAAATTGCACACAATGTCTTAATCTACTTTGCTGTTGCCAAGTGGCACAATCAGAGTGGCTTATGAGTGCTTTCTTTTACCAGTAAACAACACAGATGTAACAACACAGATACACTCAGTTTCTGCTTCTGTCAGCTAAATTGCAGAGCCTTTCATAAATGAGAAAAACAGTACTGATTCCCCACAGGGCCCAAAGCACTAGTGCTGAATTGTACTAGCTGGCCACTTTCACCCCATTCACTCCCCAAAACTCCAACATCTCTCAAGCATTTAAAGTAAATGCATGTATATACGTTTAACTAAAGCACAAGGAACAGCTTAGGGCCGTTCATTTTCAAAACGGCTCATTTTGTTTTGGGGATGATTTTAGCCCTATTACCTCATCTCCTTACGCTTAAGATTAGCTTGCTCTCCCAGCAGGAAGGAAAAAGTCCAGTTGGAGGACATGTGGAAAACAGAAAATGACCTACACAGAGAAGTAACTGACCGCTATCTACTGAGTTGAAGAGTAACGAGATTCCAGCACTTGATAATCACCCTCTTTGACTGCGGACACACCAAGTGGTACACAACTTGCTATCCTGAAAGGCATATCAAATCTAGAAACTCACACAGCACAAGTGTTTATTTCTTCCACAGCAGACAATAGACTGTTTGTTTTACTAGATAAAAGTGGGTTCTGGGTTCATCTTTTCTCTACTGATACTTCCAGTATTAACTTCCTCAAAATTTTTGTACTTTATCCAGATATTGTGAAAGCATCACCAGGGTTTCCTAGATAAACAGTTAAGTCTGCTCCAGTCTCCAAGCACCCGCTAAGTGGTGTATTTCCATGAAGTTCAATTACTTCCCTCTTGCTTCAAAGTCTATCCAGTTGGACAATCTTTCAAACAGAGCCTTAAAATTTGACTCTTCTTTGCATGTATTAAACCTACTCGAAAGTCATGGCTGACCACCGGCTACAAGCTTCTACACTCAATGAGCTCCACAGTAAGGGCAGGTCCTGGCACTTCTAGCACTCAGCATGCGTCTACGTAACATTTGGGCTCATTCCAGCAGAGATACAACATCTGACTAAAACACGGGGACAATCAATAGTCCGTTTGTTACGACGCAGCATAAATATTTCCCTCCTGACAAATTAAACTGCAGACCACACGCATTTACGAGCTACTCTGCATGTAACACAATGCAGCAGAAAGGATGACAGGAAGAAGCCAAGTTGTTCAGACTTCAGTGATCAAGACCATCTTTCTTCTTTCTTTTTGCGAAGGAACAATTTGCTTTGAAAACAGAGGGACGAATGCCTCAGCTGAAACCCCAAGGAAATGTCACAGTTCTCAGTGATGGCCTCCTACAGCTGTGACCTGTGCACTCACCTGAAAAGGTTTCAAAGGGTTCAGGTTAGCATGGAAGGCTTGCTCTGCTGTGCGGAGTTTTTCCTTTGGTAATGTGCAAATGAAGGCTTCAAAGTCCATGGCCGCTGTCTGGTTTTGAATTGTAAGAAATTCAGACAATGTTGAGGCATTGCAGAGATTTCGCAGTCGCATTCGGTAGCCAGACACAATGACCTGGAAAAGTGGGAAGAGCATATGAATCTCCCCGGGTAAAACATTCACAGCACAAAGTCAGTGAGAACCAGCCATTCATAACCTTTCAAGACAGAGGGAAGAGGGCATTTTTCTCTACAAATTGCACAGTCCTGACTCATGCGCAGCTCTGAATTCCAAGAAAACCGTGTTTTCCTGCCGAGTAGCAGGGGGAAGAGTCCTGGGGGAGACAGGTCCCTCTCCGCTTCTCCACACCCGAGCAGCAGTAACCCTGCCCTACGCAGAAGCCATTTCCTCAAACCAAGGATACGGGCGTTGCCCAATCTTCAGTCTTCTGGGAACTAAGCCATGGAGACAAAGTAAGGCTTGTGATCAGACTCAAGTCTGGCAAATACACGCGAAGGGCAAAAGACCTATGTCCCAAACTCCTGAGCGCTGTTATCTGCCAGGCACATATTCCGTGCTGTTCTGAATCGGGATCCTCTCCTTTAGCTCTGAGGTATCTCTTCAGTAAGACCAGAGAGAACCATTTTGCAGTGTGTTGGGGTAGATAACGTGCCAGCGAAATAGAAAATTATCTTACTGACTGCAATAAAGAAGAGATCAGATCTTTGAGTTTTCTTCTACAGGCATGTTTTAGTGCAGGTAATGGCTTGCTTGTGGATAAGGTTTGCTCGTCCACAGATAACCATATTATTTGTAAAGGAAATGCATAAAATTGTTCTGAACGATCGCAAGTCCCTTGCAAACCCCGAGAGTTAAATTTCTTTAATAAGGTCAGTAGTGGATTTGGGTCTGCTAAGCAAAGCATGTCAAATAGGTATACACTTCATACTGGTGATAAACACAGGGAAAATCTGAGATTTCGGTGGGGAAGGGGCTGTTTTTGTTTGCTGATGCTAGGCAGAGGAAGAGTGAGTAGTCTGAACATAAACACAGGGTAAACAGCTTTATGCTTCATTTCTGCTTTCTGTCCTCTTGCAATACCTAACATACGTTGCCCTTCCTCCAGCAAAAAAGAAAGCAAAAAAGATCGATCTAAACTCCAGAAGAATTAACAGTTCCTGAATCATGCCAATAAGTCAGACTGAGAAAACGTTCTTGTCTTTCAAAAGCAAAAGGGTATCAACAATTCAACAATCCAGAGGGAGAAAAAAATGCACTGTGCTCAGAAAAGAAGTAGATGATATGAGAGGGAAGAGATTTATAATGCAATACTTCAGCAAACCTTTAACTTTAGTCTGCATCCATATGCCAAAAATAAGATGTTGCTGGGCTGCACACTCAGCTCAACAAACAGAACGGCTCTTGCATCAAAAAGTCTGGCCTTTCAGGAAAGTTCTGCCAGCAGTGGTATTACCACCACCATAGCAATGCTGAAAAAAAGGATATTCTTGTGGCTGGCAGCACGAAAATGACATTGAGGAGACCTGGGTTCAGTCTGAATCAGCTTCTTTTGCGTGGACATATAGAAAAATAATGTCTCAAAGTGCCTCAGGTACTCGCTCAAAAAATGAGAATGAGCAATGCTTCCACCATTTCTTGTGGCCATCCATCCTTTTCACTCAGATTTTAAGCTCTTTCAGAAAGAGGGCACTTTCCCAAATGCAGGACGGCTGTAGCACATGATGCTGAGACAAAGGCCCGAACCCTCACCAAAACCAAACCACCTGGTCGCACCAAGTCAGTTCTCTGCAACAATTCAAAGTCACCTGAAGCCGTAGCTTTCTGAATAGGAGAATACATTATAAATGATAGAGTAACTCCCCTAAGGACTGTTAAAATGTCGAGCTCATTTCTGAGGCGTTCAGGGCAGTGTCTGAAAAAGCAGACACAGGTGAGACTTTGTGCTTTCTGGTCACACCGTTCTCACCCTAGGACTAGCCCTGCTGTACGTGAGCGGGGAGACTTGTTCCTGGCAGTGTACACCCCGGCTGTGATCATCTACCCCTTGGTGTCCTCCAGAACAGGTCGCTGATTAGCGCCACAGCCCTCGCCCAGGACAGCAGCACGTCCCCACTGCTTTTCGCTGGGACAGGACCTGCCCCGCGGTCCAAGTCACGCAACAGAGGTCTGGCGGCGCCTGCTGGATAGCCCGAGTGAAGGCTTGACCAAACAGGCTTGACTTGGTCACCCTGCAGGAGGAGATCGCTCCGCCTTTCAGATATTACCTGTACTAGGAGAGTGCTTAAAGCAAGATCTGGTGGCCTGCTGTTCTCCTCTGCGGCTTACTGCCACATTGCATAGGTTAATTCTTGCCATCCCATAGCACACACTGCCACAAGACTACACAGCGTCACTCCCAGTGCAACAGCAAGATCTGTGCAAGACTAGTCTACTAACACGGACAAAGCCAAAATCCTTCAAGCAAAATCTAGCTCACTAATTACCCCTTTACTGAGATATGTCACATACAAAGGCAAAAAGTTAGACTTTTCTCACTTTCTGCAGGCTCTCCTATTGCTGGCACAGCTGACTTAATATGATAGTCACATGACAAAAGATCAGGGCTAGCTCCTTTGCCTGTATAGAAGTCTTTCTGCCTTTCCATCGCTTAAAGAAACCAGTATGTTGTTGCCGTAGCCTTCTGCTTATCCCTGTCGACCAATCTGTAACAGGGTTCTGCTTTATTCTAGCATGAATTTCAGGCAAATTTGTTTCAAGACAAACAAAACTTGTGCCTTAAAACACACAAGACTTTTTCCTTTTTTTTTTTTTTTTAAGTACACTACGTCTTTAACTTGCAAGCATTGATTACCAAAGGATGTTGAAACATATACCTACATAAAATTCACTGAAGAATGGGACAATTTGTATGAAGAAAGCCAGCATCTGTAACTGCATGGAGACAAAATCTGAAAGGACTATTAATTACTACACTTCAGAATAAAAGATTTGATCTGGATGTGGGAAGCAGAAGGGATTTCCTTCTCCTTTTGCACAGTCACACCACGTTGAGAGGAATGTAGGTCTTCCGTCGAAGCCTGAAGCCACCAGTCCTGACTTCTGCAGTAGAAAGGGTGCTGGCAGAAGTGGACACATTCACCTAGCCCGAGAAAAACTGATCCGGACAATGACAGACAGCCATCGAAAGTCAGTCCACTGTCACATCTGCCTACTTTTAGGAGGACAATTACGGCAGCGCTTAGGGGTTTCATCGGAGATCAGGATCCTGATGTACTACATAATGTTCAAGCTCATTGTCTGTTTCGAAGAGCCAGCCGTAAACCCAAAAGCATGCCTCCTTCACCTGCCCTGGTGTCCAAGGCACCCAGCGACACGCAGCATGCCCACGGCCACATACACAATCCCACACACCTGGAACAGACACCCTGTCCTTGAGCCCACACTGAGTCACCTAACAACGAAAACAATTTTTTTTCTAATTGATGTAGAACGGTTCAAACAGCACTGGCAGACAAATTAATGTTTTACTTAAGGAGGAAAAGAAAAAAAAAAAACACAGGAAAGGAGAAATTCTCTTTAGCCTGCAGAGTACGAGGCTATTTTTTATGCAGATCAAAACATGTATATGTGGGTCTCAGAGTGCTTTTAGAGCTTACAGCCAAGGCAGGCAGTAAATTTGAGGGCAAGGGAGAAAAGCAGCAATTACATTTTACTCTGTGTTTGTACAACCGCTCAGCACAGAAGGGGCCTATTCTGTGGATCTTGGCACTATGGTAAAATGAACAATAAACTATTATGTTAACAGCCGACAGCGCTCTTTACCTTCTGGAGGTTGACCCCAGCGTTCAGCAGCTCATCTACTGCAAACGGTGGCATGGACGCATTATGATGAAGGAAGTCTGAGAACGTCTCATTGTCCACCAGGAAATCCCGGAGTTTCAAGTCTGCAAGGTGATAAAACGAGCAACATTTTGGTCAGGGCAAAGCCAAAGGAAACTAACTTGAGAGCTTTGAGCAGGAAAGGCAAAACGCTGACAAATGGGGGAAAGGGAACTGCACAAACCATGGCGCAACGGAAAAACGAGGAGCCGGAGGCAAAATGCTCTGAAACATGCGAGCTTTCAGAGACGTGGTCAAACCATGATGTCTTAACCTCAAAAGCAGAATCTTTAAAACCTTCTTCCCTTTAACACCTCTACTTAAGCTCAGCTTGCGCCTATCATGTGCTGTCAGACATGGAAAAGGCAAAACAGACCAAGCTGTTCCCCTTCTGCGGGTGAAACCCGCTCCAGCATCAGCCTAGCACAAAGATTAGGCTTCACTTAATCCCTGTGTTGTTAGTGAAAGCAGGACTGAACTGGTGCACGGACTGCTGAGAGATTTACTAGCTTGTATGTTTAATTATGCTAATAATAAATGCCAGCAGTACTCTGCCATAAAATATTTCAAAGAAGTCTGACATGTGCAGACACACAGTTATCAGATGATACATAAATCACAGGCAGACCTAGGAAGCAATCTTGCCTGCACTGGCAAAAAATACATTTTTGCAAATGCTGTGTTATTTCATTTTCTTCCTTAACTCTTCATGCTATGAAGGCATTAGTATGTCAGGTCCTGGCATTAAAATAGAGTTGTCTCTCTCTCACAGCAGAGGAAATTTCATCTGGAAATTTTAATCCACGTATAGAATTAAAGACAGAAACCTGGAGGTTAAGCAGCTGGCCCTCATGCTGTTTCTTTGTTTTAAAGTTTTTTTTTTTTTTTTAAAGAGACTGATTCCATCTTGATTACGCTTAAGTAAGCGATGATCGGGACGGCAGCTCTGTCGGGGCCGCTGCGAGAACAGGGCTCACGGGATTGCCTGGGGCGGTGAGGGGGGGCAAAGGTGCCCGGGTTAAGCCAAGTCACCCAGCCAGGCATCACGCCGGCGCCTCAGCTCGGGCCGGCCGCGGCAGCC